TCACGGTTTCTACAGTTTCTTTGGCACTTTCCTACAAGCCACCACACAGAATTGAATTTTACATGAATTTCACCACCACCCACAAGCACACTGAATGAATTCGAAGCGAAACGAGGCCGTTGAGTGAATTTCCTGAGCACGAGTTTCCGGTACAAAGTTATGAATGCCGGAAATATCACTTTTCGGCCGAGCGCGGTCAGCAATTAGGCTAAATTTGCCGACGTTTCCGAGGCGGATGTGGTAGTTCAGGAAATAGTGCACTATTTCGTGCTTCTAGCTCAAATGATTTGAGAGGGAGGGCAGCAGAAGGTCTCCCTGAAGCAATCAGCTTACTAGGGAAGCACACAACAGGACCATATGGAAACTCGCATGATCAGCAAAATTCAGTGTGTATCCCATCAAGCCTAACGTAGTTGGGCTCGCATAACTATTCCAGTCTTATCAAGCAAATCTTGTACAAGTTTGGAGCGCGGCCCTTTCCTGATCGTGGGTGGAGCCAGGTCTGCCGTTGTGTGTTCTTCATTGGCACGACTTTGTCTCTCATGGCAGGAACCCACCTCGTACAAGCTTGTCTTTGGGCGGTTCCGGATGGATAGAGACCAGTGCTGTCCAAGTGCGGGAATCATTCAGTGTGTCGTGTAGAGGCAAGTGCGCCTTTATACACAGTGCTACCGCTGCAACTGTGGGAGGGTCTCGACTACGCCCAGGCGAACATCAGAGTGTTTTTGCGTCATCACAGTCGGTACAGTGATAAACTTAGAGCGAATAAGAACGTAGTGCGAGAGGAGGGAAGTGGGTAGCCTAGATAGGCAGGTCTTTCCTCTGCACAGAATAATATCTAAACTCTAGCCGAGTCAACGAAGAGATTTTCTGGAATAGGTTTGTGCTGCCAGGCTACAAAACGCTCACTTTTAACATGTACTAGTTACGAACGTAGATATGATTCAGCAGTTAAAGGGCTGATAATCGCTCATTACCACCATGGTTCTGTGTTAGGGAGAACCGTTTGGAGAAGAAAGGGCCCACGTGTGTCTTGCCGAGTGTAAGAGCGAATAATTGTTGAATCGATGAAAGGAACTTATTGCAAAGTAAGGAAATTGCAGCTGATCTGAAGGTCACCTCGGCAATTTCACCGTCCCCAGCTCGGAAAGGAAAGGATTATGAACCGGTTAAGGGTATGCGCAATTATAGGCACATCCTCTGCGACCAAACTCTCAGTAATATGACCTGTGAAGGCGGTCGAAAATGAATTCCTTTAATGTCACGCCTTCCTTCGTTGTTGATTATGTTCTCATCATGAGTCTCTGCCCACCTGCTTATCACGGGACATGTTCCAGATGCAATAAGGGCAGACAAACTATCGCATTTAATTATTTAATCATTCAGTACGCTTTGAATGAATTTTTATACGAGGTATCGTATGTATACGTAGTGAAGGGCAACAATTAATGAAAATTCCGTGAAAGCTACGCACACGGCTGTTTGAGGACTGATCACTCCGCAGGAGACCTTTAGGACTAGGATGCAGCGTACGCACCTGAGGTACAGCGTGCATCTTATGTGTAAATGGTGGTGTTCAGTACGAACCACCCCACTCCGGTGCCCAGCACTTACCTACTTAGATTTTCCCCAGCTTTCTACCACTTTCCGAAACTTCGAGAAATCCTTACTTTTTCTAGAAAGTTTTGCTTTTGAGCGGTGATGGGGTATATTTACACATGAAACAGGAAAAAAATTCATAGAACCTCAACAACTGAGAAAATTTTTTTCTAAACGCGCATTCCTCTCAAAACCGCATACGCCCCTCCCTCTCCCACCAAGGACAAATACGACTCCGCTCCTCAGCGGAAAACTACGACCCCCCTATGTGTTTCACACACGATCGTGTACCCTGCTGACCTTATTAAACTAAAGAATTCCGCCTAAGCCTGATATGTGGGCAGATCCCTCCTATGAATGAACCACTTTCAAGTACGGCAACTCTGCTCGGATGCTTGTCCACCTGTCATACACAAGCGCTTCTTCGAATGCCCCCTCCAAGAGTACCGTGCGTAGTTATGTTCTAAACTTACTGTCTAATGTAACACGTTGAATAATAAATAGGTCAAATGAATTTCAGGCGAATTGGAAGCTCGTGTACCGGCTAAGACGTGTTTTCTTACCATCGACACCGCATTCCCGCAATTTCCTGGAGCAGAAATGTGGAATCCTCCGAATGTATGGTTTTGTATATATTTTTATTTATTTACAACAAATCCCTCGCCTGTTAGGGGTGAAGTGATGGTGGTTCATCCAGGTAGTACGTAAGTGACACGAATTTGCTACGTATCATGTTCATGACAAGCAAACGAGCTATATTGACGTCAATACACGTCATCAGCGTGATATGTGACGTCAACGACACATCATCTCTGACTATCTCCTGACACTCGAAGTACTGAACCACGTCCAGCCTTGTTCGCTATTGGGACAGTTCAGAAAACTGGGTCTGGCGTAGCAATAGCCTCCATTCTCCACCACGTATTGTGTATGCCTGCCAGCTTCCACAACAGGTGGAAGAGGCAGCCTGCGCCCTCCCAAACCGACCCCCCCCCCACCAAAGCGCCCCATAGTCCACTGAAAACAAGACTGTAGCTATGCTACGTCAGATGTATAAATCCTGTGTTGGACCCTATCGAATACGACCGTAATATTCAATCCACATAGACGCAAGACCATCGACTTGATTGAAAATGTCCAGAATAGCTATACAAGGAAACTCATGATCAGAGTGGTTGGCTTTCTTCATGACGGCATACCTTCTGGCCCAGAAATCGCCAACTTTGCTGCCGGTCTTCTCAGTTGGCGTAGAAAAAAGTTTGACTTACTAATGTTTCATAAAATTCTCTACGGTCCTTCTGCTTTGCATCTTAACACGTTCTGTAATGCTGGGGCATCCGTTACGCGGGGTAGTACCATTAAACTACTCCTTCATAGGACCAGGCTTAATTGTCGTTCCAACTTCTTCATCAATCGAGTTTGTTCCGTGGTTCTTGGTTGCAGGCAAGAAAGAAAAAGTATTCCACCCCGTCTCGTCAGCATTTGAAAAGTACCTCAGACAATAGCTAGAATTCATGATGACTTCCGTTTCAACTCAATTCACTGATTTCCCCTCTAACATTTAGGCATTTGTTGTGTTTTTTTTCATACATTCATATTTTCTATCGAGATACCCATGTAGTAAATATATACTCAGCGCCTATCGCATGTGAGAGGAAACGCTCACGGACATAAACAATTCTAATTATTATACATAAAATTTTAACTACTTTCAGATCTCTGGAATATTATTGTCCACGACAAAAGCTATTAAGTGGATTCGATATGTGTTTGTATGTGCGTTACTATCGGTTTTTGGCCTCACGCATCATTTTCCTGGTTCCATTAAACGAATAGACCAAGTGTGGAATCACTTAAGAAGTAGACAGAGAAAATCAGTAAAAACGTGCACCACTATTGGTTTCCCACTTCATGTAGGGCTAACGACAATTTCTCGTGGTCGGAAATGGAATTGCTCTGTGAGCAGTACTACCGTGGACTTCATTACTTCAACATTTTTTTCAGGGTATCAGCGAGGATTGTTTGAATATGAATATATGGGTACCGGCAAATCACGATGGTTCCGTTCTCGTTTGGATTTTCGGAGGAGGTGAGTCAAGGATAATTTCTTTTTATGCAAGAATTGCTAGGAAAAGAACAAAAGAATTTCTCTCTATGACGCTATAATTTCGGACTTTACCAAGCTCGTCCATGTAATGGTGCTATATTACGTAGATCTATGCTTAGTTTCCTTGGATAAGGCGACAGGGTCCATAGATCTGTCATATGGGAGAGAGCAGGGCGTAATATTGTGCTGTTCCCATTGGTGCCTTCTTCTTCTGAGACGATAGAAGAGTCAATGGGGAAAGCCCAATCGGGCGAAAATGCGCCCATACGATCACCTTGTAAGGCACCTCCTATCGTTTAATCCATTCGAAAGATTTTTAGCAGACGAGTTTCCTCAATTAAAAGCGGTCACTCATCCGAAGCTAGGATAAGATGTGGAGAACTCCCACTCTATTTTGAAATATTTATCGATATAATTGAGTGAATATTAGCTAGCCAAGTATCCTTACCCTCTAGCTGAGAACGCATGCAACATTTAAATGCTACTTTTCATTTTAACCTTGCTAAAGTAGTGTTTAAACAACAGCGCTCTTCATGAAGAAATGCGCCATCCTTTCAACTCCATATAATGATTCAGTAATTTATGGCCTATTTCCTATGATTTGGGGGCTGACCTGAAGCGGAAATGCTTGGCTCGACCGCAGTCCAGTAATTAGATAGGAAGTGCTGAAATTAGACTGGCTATGCACTCACAATCAGCTACTTCTGTTTGTTAACTAATTAAACGATTAGAATAGTCTAAGGAAGCATTCTTGGAAACCGCCTCGCCGCGGCAGTCTTGCCCTGATCACAATATGAATTAGGATTAGTCCGCGATAATTTGAATTTGACTCTTGAAGAGCGGTGTCTGAAGAATTTCATGATCGAACATAAGCTCTCCAGGAACCTTGAAAAATCAGGAATGTAATGGGACATGACTTTCGGAAACTTGGTAAAGTATAGATTATTTTATTGCACATTCCATTCAGTGACAGTTACCGTGAGAGTCAGCGTTTCCAGCGTGCGTTGTGAATTCCGCATGGAGAAGGACGGCGGAGGGGGCAAGCGTATTTATTGGCTGGTGGAGGGGCTTGCTGTGGTTAGTACACGCAGAGATCTAAAAAAGGAGTCTTGAGAAGAACACTTCCACCATTCTAAGTGTCCGTGCGCCATGGGAACTGTGTTTACGTGTCCGTGATTCCAAACCCATGTGAAAGATGTAGGTCACGCATCTGTCGTCATGAAGCGGGATACGACATCACAGGCTCGCCGCTCCTCCTTCTCCCTTCTGTAGTAACGTTAGAGCCAGAAAGGGTACATCGTGTTCACAGCGGATAATCGGGCGTCTCAGGAGGAAGGGTTTCTCACACCACTTGCTGAGCAAGTGAGCGCAGAAGAGTTGTGGAAACGGACTGGATATGAACGACGATTCAGTTGTGGTGGTCGAGAAAAAGGAAAAGAAACCGTGCTGACGAAACCGCCGACCTCACCCGCATTCGCAGATACGCCTGCTCATCACAAAGAACAGACTATTGGCGCTAGTGCGCGCTGTTATGCTCACCCCGCCCACCGGCCACTCTTCGGATGGTAGTCTTTAAGAGCGGAAATCAGGGGTGTCTAAAGGGGGGGTGACTAACAGTCAAGACAGTTGGGGGTGTTCTGAAGGAGCAGCCCCGCTGATCGTACGGACCTGCCCTACCCTTTGTTGCGCTAAACTCGTTTCCTTCTTACCGCCAGTAGGGAGGAAAAGCACCGCATCAATGGGTACTCATCAAGCCAGATTTCCTCCTTTTCCGGTCCTCACTCCGCCCATACTGTTCAGTGTGGAATCTGAGCATACTGTTTTTCTTGTATTCCTCTGTCTCCCTTCAGTTCGGAAGTCGCTCTCTCTCCTTCCGATTTCTTCAAATGCCCAGTAGAACAGCGTATAACACTTACAACATCTACAATAAATGTAGTATGTTCAGGTTTATCTTTCAGGCCGTTCTCCTCGCTGACCTTTACGACGGCACGGCACTGGCGGCTAAGAAACACGCAATAGTAGTGAACATAAACTATCGGTAAGCTGTGCTGTCGATCTCCATGTCGAAGTTTCCAATTGTTATCGATCTATTCCAGATTGGGACCATTCGGTTTTCTCTCCGCGGTGAGCTGACGACTCACCAGTGCCAGGAAATATGGGTTTGCTAGACCAACAAGTGGCTCTGCGTTGGGTGCACGAACATATTGGTACGAAAGATATACGGCTTTTTCGAATTTCCCTTCATTGACACATTTTAAGGTTCATTCGGTGGCGATCCAAGCCGAGTGACGTTGTTTGGTGATGCGCTGCTCTGATCAGCCACGAAGCTCACAGTGCCGCCCCAGGGAGCCATCCATACTTCAACAAGATAATCGCCAATGTTAGTTATTTTTCTTGCTGTTTTCCTCTTGGAAGCCGTATCAGCTCACCGGAATGTATGAAAAGCAAAAAAAATTGCAAGCAGCTACAAGGTAATGAGAAATTCAGAGCCAGTTTCTGCTAGCGCTGACACTAAGGGCCACTGAGCACGGCCGCGGCGAGACACCGCACGAGTAATTAAGCAACTTTTCCCTGTTTCTATTTGCGTACTCTTTATTTTTGTCGTACTTATCGTCTCCTACCGTCTGGAATCGCTGGACATGAAGTTTCCAGACCAAATATCGGCACATTTCAGCTTAGGGGGCCAAAACAGTACTTAGCTTAGCTTGTGCAGGCCATCTTGTGGATTCCTGTAACCAAAGTAACTCATTCCATTCGCCGCTTCATAGGATTTTACACGTTCCTCGAGAGTGGGACCTGTTATTCAATATAAACTAATAAAAAGAACTAGCGAAATGCCCTCCGCCCGTGTCGATTAGCGTCCTAATTTCGTGTCAAACGTGCTTAGAGTCAAACTCCGCGATAAGGCGGTGGGCGGAGACTCGCAACCGCTGTGTCTTTCACACTGGTGCACACTCATGCAGTTAAGAGGAAGGGAGCGCCAACGAGGAAGACACAAAGGTGATGAGCCTTCGCCCATTTCCTGACCCATCAAGTGACTGCGAAGTGCGTATTTCTGGATGACGGTTTTGAGCAGGAACAGTTTTCCTGAGGTCGAGCGCCGGGGAATTGGAAAGGTCATCTTGACGTTTCCAGCAGCTCAGCGCTCACATTGCTTTTCCTACACGACAATTTTCACGGGCTGTCAGGCGAGCTAACAAAAATATGTTTCCAGAGTGGAACGATACTTAATTCATGGGCAAGTCGAACGCCCGACACTATGCTCGAGTTGTCATTAAGGCTTGCAAAACGGCTCAATTGTACAACGAGAAGCACGGATGCCACGGCGATACACAATTGTCTCCGGGCAGCTCCAGCCAGTGTTATACAGGTAAAAACGCTTGGATTGATTGAGAGAAGAAAAGTTGCTGAAAAACTCGAAAAAAATACTCCTCGTGGGCAGAACTTCGATAAAAATCCACGATTCGGGAGAGTTCCAAAAAAGTTAGGACACATTGCACGTTCATCTGATGAGAGGGCCAGAGTTACACATTTGTGTTCCTCATTGGCGCGCCCCTGCTTTCTAAAATGGTAATCAAAGGGTGAACAAAGGGTTGCACGCATGAACGCGGATCCTACTACATATACGAGGTATCATTATACTGAAAGTGTTCTGTCCCTTCAGCCTAAAAACACGTCTGTTAAATAAGTAATAAGCCCAGATGCTTCGACTGACTAAATTTGAGACCAGCTCTAGCACATCGATGGTGGAACCAGCAGGCGCTTATGTCCGAAGCCACGCGTCCAGGCAGGTTCTACTGATGAAGAACCCGTGACTAAAAGTTGCAGTGGTGGAGGCAGTGGACCAGGAAAAGTGGCGACCGCCTGATTAGGACAGCATACCATGCGACAGTACGGGACTAACGCTAGGGAGAAGGCCGAGGAGAATAAAATTGATACAGTCTAGATGCGCCATTTTTTGTTAACTGGTATGTTAGCCTCATCCCTCGCTTAAGGTAGAGCATCGGTTATGTTTTGAAAGATGGTGTCACGTCGCCTCCTGCCTCCTTCTCAGGCTTTAGGCTACCAGCTTCCTAAGTTTTTCGCCATTAACTACTTATCCTGGTTTTCCAGTTTCTTGTCCAAAACTGGCCGATCGGCGAGCGGTAATGGGGACGGGGATGTGACAAGTCACCTGTATCACCTGTATCACCTGTGCTCCCGTTGATCATCGAGTTCCTCGAGCGGGCGCCAGTAACGTCTCCATTCGTCCCTGCAACGTGCAAGAGTTGCCCAATGAACTCTCTCAGCTCGAGGGACACGATGAACTTCATACCATTCGTTCAGAGCTTTCACGAAGAAGTCTGACCATCGCATAGGCGGTCGTCCAGGCGTTCGCTTGACATCCCGTGGAATCCAGTCGGTGACTGCTCTGGTCCAGCGGTCGTCCTCGAAACGCATGACGTGTCCGGCCCACCTGATCTTCGAAACCTTGGCAAATGCGGCGGCGTCTCTGATCTTCGATCGTTGGCGGAGTGCGGAGCTCCGGATTCCCTCTCTCACTTGCGTGTAGCGGGAAACTCCGAGCATCGCCCTTTCGATGGCGCGTTGAATAACGCCGACCGCATGCTCATCCTGCTTTCGTAGAGTCCAAGTCTCTGAGGCGTACGTCAAGGCAGGAAGGACCGCGGAATCGAAGAGGTGGGCACGGAGCTTGGTGTTCTTCGTCTTCTTCGCTACTCCCTCGATGTTCTTGAAGGCTCCCCAAGCCGCTCGCTTCCTCCTGCTCAGCTCTGGAGCTAGGTCATTCATCATATTGATTTCACGACCTAGGTACACATAGCTAGAGCATTCAGAGATGGTCGTTCCGTTGAGCGTGAATGGGGCATCAGATACCAATCCGTTTCTCATGAACATCGTCTTCGTTAGGTTCAGCCGTAGACCGATTCTTCCACACGCGCAGTCGAATTCAGCCAGCATTCGTTCCGCTTGCTCGATGTTTGGCGTTATCAAAACGATGTCGTCAGCAAAGCGGAGATGGTGTAGTTGCCGACCGTCGATCTTCACTCCCATGTCTTCCCATTCCAGTTGACGCATGACGTTCTCGAGAGAGGCGCTGAAGAGCTTGGGCGAGATGGTGTCGCCCTGTCGGACCCCTCTCTTCACATCAATGATGATCTCCTTGTAGAATGGTGAAATCTTGGTTGTTTTCTTGGTCGTGAAGTTGCTGTAGAGCTCACGAAGAATCCTGATGTACTGAGTAGGAATACCCTGGTTGCCCAGGGCTTCGATAACCGCTTCTGTCTCAACGGAGTCGAAGGCCTTCTTCAAGTCGATGAACGTGAATGTCGTGTCGTTGCCAATGTCGTACAGGTCTCCCTTCTTGTACAACACAGTCTTGCTGGTTTTCCACGAGGTGGGTACCTTGCATTCCGACAGGTAGCGCGTGAAGAGTCGAGCCAGAGTTTTGACGAGAACTGGCGGAAGATTCTTCAGATGTTCGGGTCTGATCCTGTCGGGACCGGGTGCCGTACGATTCTTCACCGACGAGATGGCGTGTCGGACTTCGGAAGAGAGAACTGCAGGAACGACATATCCATCCTGCTCCAAGCGGTATGGTTGCAGGTGGACGTGGCTGTCAAAGAGATCCGAGTAGAAGTCGTGGATGACCTTCTCCATTGCCCTTCTGGATGCGGTTGTTCCATCCGGACGTCGGAGGGCGGTCATCTTGGTCTTACAGTTGGCGAAGTCGCGGCGGGCGTTGCGTACGCTCTTCCCAGCCTCTGCGGCTTCCACCAGTACTGCTGCTCTTCTCTCCTTGAGGTCTTCCTTTATCGCTTCTCTGCATAGCTTCGCAAGCTCAGCTGGTAATGCCCTGCGGCTCGTGCGGCTCCACGTTGGCGAATCAGCTCGAGAGTTTCCAGAGATAGACGCTTCTTGGTAATCTTGGAACCCTCTGACTTCTTGGCGCAGTCGTGAAGATGTGCAACAAGCCTTTCGTATTCCTCGTCGATGTTGTCAATGACAGAATCCTCCCAGAGCCCAGCGAGAGAAGTGAAGTGATCCCAGTTGATGGTGGTCTTGGGGCTTCGCTTCTTGAACTTTGCGGCTCTCTCTCCTCGCATCGAAAAGCGGAATCTTGCGCGAAGGAGACGATGGTCGGATCCCGTGTAGAACTTAGGGACAACAGCGACATCGGTCAGGCAAAACCTTCGATTGCAGATGATGTGGTCGATCTCGTTATGGAATTGTCCACCAGGAGACTCCATGTCCAGCGTAGAGAGTAGGGCTTCTGGAACTGCGAGTTACCATGGATGGTGTGGGTCGACATGATAAACTCAGACAGCCTTTCACCCTGCTCATTCCACTCCGTTCCGTGAGTTCCGATGTGAAGTTCTTCAGCCGTTCTTCTTGGTCCGATCTTAGCGTTGAAATCACCGACGATGACCTTGAAGAAGGTATGATCTTCCTTGTAGAACTTCTCCAATTCCATATAGAACGCTTCGAGCTCATCCTCGTCGTAGCTTGATGTTGGTGCGTAGGCGACGAAGATTGTCAAAGCTGGAGTTGAACCACATCTTCTCATCGCAAACGTCCGATTCGGGTCGTCAGACTTTCGTACGAATCGATGTTCATGGCCAAGTGCGTGTTGACGAGGACGCCCACACCGCCAACGCCTCTGCTGTCGCATGTTCCGAGGAACAGTTCTTCTCCAGTCTCGTACACGGCGTGTAGCGGGCGATGCCTCCTCGTCTCGGTCAGTCCGATGACGTCGTACTTGATCTTCCTGGCTTGCAACATCAGATCTTCGATGTGAGCTTCCGATGCAAGCGTCCGTGCGTTGAAAGTACAGATCGTCATCCTAGTCCTGGGCGACTCAAATCTCCGTTGGCCCTGTGATTTTTGCAGCCTCGTCCGAGCGGTCCCAGCCGACGTCGCCCTGTCGGTGGTTCCCTCAGCTTCAGGGGAATGAGGCCCATAGTTGTTACTGTTTTCGGCGAGAAGAAAATTAACCACGCGTAGCTCGCCAGGCTCTGACGTGGCACCCTCCGCATTGGTACGTTTTTGGAACAGTCCAAAACCGTTCACCCCCACGCCACGATGAGGCTGCGGATAGGATTTGTGGGGGGGGGGGCAAGGTCATCAGCACTTTTTTCCAAAATACTGCCGTCGAGCGGGAGGGGGGAGCGGGATGGGTGAAGTCGTTACCAATCAACTGATCAAAATCAGCTACCGATAACGAGCAGTTATATAGTAAAGTTGCGGCGCCGCAAACTGGGTGCGAACAAGAAAAAGTCGCGGGAAGTCAGCTACCGGGAAAGCTTAGTTTTCTTCCGATGAAACTCCTCAAAACCATTTACGTTCTGTAGCGATCAGGTGAACCTTGCCCCTTTTTGGCCTTGGCAACAAGCTCTCAACGATGCTGTGCCCTGCACTCGGCTACTCTCCCCTGTAGCATCTCTTTTTCCATAATTATATGTATGAGATATACAAATCTATTCGGCTGAGTTAGTCCTAACTCTCTTTTTGGAGCTTCGCTTTCTTCATGTCTTCTTTCCAATGATCCCAGTTCAGGTAGAAGCCGATTCAGTTTCAAGTGACATCGGTTTACCAATGACGTTTGCTTTTGTTCCCGTCAGTGCTGATAAGAACTTCTTCCAAGTAAGCCAATTTTTTGATATCATGTTGCCTTTTAAAGATAACATATCTCAACTCCAGGGTGATGTGTTCGAACGCCTTCGAAATCGTAATTTCAAAAAAGATGTGAGCGCCATAATTGGTACAGTAAAAGACGAGGGTACATATTGGTTACCGTACTATATGTATCGTTATGGATTCTGGTTCAACCACACCATCTCAGCTGAAGATCCCCAGAACAAAGCACTGATAACGAGGTAGGGTATTATGGGCTATATTTGATCTACTGATGTTATTTGGCGGTACCGTTTCAGAGAACAGTACCGACAGTCGATGCAGGCATTTATGCCTTATTTTGGGAACTCGCCTCTTGTCGAACACGCTCTTCTTCATGCATATCAATCTGTATCAGAGAGACAAAGTCTACCGTAAGTTTTCTGTCAGAAGTTGTTGAAATTGAATTCTTCAGAACCGCTAGCAGGGCATAGAGCGCTTGGGGGTGGGGGAGGATCTTTAAGGACTTTCGCAAAGGTGGGAATAACGTTAAGCAGAGTGGAAGCCGTCTTTATTTACCAGACCGAACTTGCTCCCTTTTTGATCTAGAGCAGAAGTTCTCATCTTCATTGTGGACTCCTAGCTTTGCGAAAGAACTGGTCTAAATACCTCCCGCGAAGCTATTGGCAGCCATTTGGCTTACTATACTATTTGGCCTACTATACTATTTGACGTCCTCTTGGGCGAAGACTGCATCTCTGGTGGTGAGGTGCTGAATCGGAAAGATAGTACAAGGGCTCACCCCCAAGACACAGGCCGTACAGGTCGAATGAGAGGAGCCGGGCTCACAACTGTCTGTTTCTGATCGGTGCGACCCTCTTAAAGACAACGAAAGACTTTATGACAAGACATTCGCAATGTGCCGCGCTGGGAGTGGTGCACGACGCCACGCACGTTAGAGACGAGTTGTCCTGCTTACCCGATGGAAGTCGAATGTTAAAGGCACGGGAAAGGTCGATATCTTTCGGAAAGGAGTCTTACCTCCGCTTGAGCTCCTATGAGTTCGATTGCTCCAGTCGATAAAGTGACGTAGAACAGGAATTTCACGCAATGCGCCGCGCGCGGCAGACGATTGTCTCGTAGGTTTCCGTTTCCGGTTGCTGACTTTTCCAATTTCTCCCGTTTCATGTACGCTATATATGCCGCTCCCCCTCCCGTGAGGGATTTTTTAGGGTCAACCTGGAGAACGTTAGAAGGGAAAACCTCAGGAAAGTCGTGGGACGTTGAGAGAATCCGTAGAGATAGTACGTAAGATGGGTGGAGGAGAGACGAGGGAGAAATCCTGGGGGAGTCGTACTCTGCAATTCCATTTCGCAACAGGAGACTTGCCCTGATGGAAACCCTCTTCTAATGGTAAGAGGACGGTCGTGCGGATACTGCCATTTCCCCACAATCCTGTGATGTGCCCTGATTCAGAGAACAATTACGAGATGGTGTTGGACGATTTCTTGGTGACTATTTCTTCACATGTAGCCTCATCGAATTCGCTGACATAATAGCAGACAATGTATATGGTCCCGTTTATATGTACTATTTCACAATGAGGTCAGTTCATAGTTTCTTTCGATTATGTGCCATAGCCATCAATTATCGAATATTATTATTGCAGATCCACTGCAAATCCATGGCCGAAATGGATGGGAGTTATGCATGGATATGAAATCGAGTATGCTTTTGGTCAACCGCTGACTAGGCCTTCACTCTACGATAAGGTACGCATTTCATTTCTCCTCCTGAGGCATGAACCTTCATATGGTACAGGAACCAGGTCTTGCACTTTTTCCTCTTCCCAAAAGGCTTTCAAACAGCGATTAAATGGAATTAGTGGGTGTTCGATCTTGCGAATGTGGCAGTTGACCAGAAGAGGGCTCCGACTCGCTCGATGATGACGGTATAGCGATGACATGGCGGATCGAAGGATCAAACAGCGAAGATTGAAGTGACTTCACGCTGCGCGCTTATTCGCACCAAGACCTAAATCGTTGTTTAATGCCAGAAATTGGAATTGCTACAGTAGCGGTCAAGTTTGAGCTAGTACCGTATTGAGCTATTTTGTGATGCCTCGTCGCAACCCAGGTCTTTTAAACCCAGACGCAGAAGGAGTCAGAAGACCTCAGAAAACACGTCGCTGATGTTAGGTTATGGCGCCAGAGTACACTAGACTTACTTAGGTTTTGTAGCGGCGTAGCGGTAGCTGGTCGCCACTCCGGTCATCTATCACGGGCATATTGAGCTTCAGAGAAGGAAGGGTCATTTACTCGTTGAGAGGAAAAAGTTGCAGTGCCGACCAATGGAGACAGACCTTGGTCGTCCTACTCTCACAGCGTTCCCGAACCCCAACAAGAAAATCAGCCGCCGGTTTCTGCTAGCATGGCTAGCAAATGATGCTTATCCTAAGAAGCACTTGCGTCCTGAACATTACTTCGATGTGTGAGCGCAAACCTCCTCATAAATAAAGTCCTGCCGTAATAAATGCTCATGGATTATAATAATGTAAATAAATAAATTAATTGATTTAATGAAAATTGATAAACCGCTTACGCGGCTACTCCTTATATGCAAACAAGAGACTTTGTAGAGGAATTCTCCACTTCCTCTTCTTGCAACCTCGGCATTTCAGATGTAAGTTCTTAACTTGTTTTGCGCCTTACGAGGTTGATAGGTGGAACTATTTATTCAATATGGCCTAACGTTTCGACTGAATCGTCGTCATCAGAGGCCTGAATGTGTTTCAAGGATTAGATTGCGCTCTACTCCACCAAGCGCCTCGTCAACGTCCGACATCGTGTCAGGAACCCCTCGAGAAGACCGCCAATAATGGCGAAAGCCTAACCGCACCCGACGGTTCCACCTATTGTGGGCGACAGTGTCCGCAGCACATCAAGAGGCGAACAGTTAGTTATAAATGAAGAATACCGCGCTGTCTCCGTATAGTAGAATATTGTGGAGACGCACGTAGCGCTCTGTCATTCTACAGCTCGCAGTGTTCTATGAACGGCAGAAGGTCATTTGTTATTGCAGGACACTCATCTCGGCTGTTCATTCTGGGTTTTCTGGTGAAAATCCAGAACGCTTCTAAGTGCTTTTTCTTGCGGAAACTTCGCGTCTCATTGTTGCCAGCACAATATGCACTTTAAATATTCGAACTCTACATATGCTGCTCAACTTTATGCCTTCCGAGGGCTGTTGTGAGGGTACCGCGTCTCATACCTGCAAGATGTTCCTTGAGGCGAATTGCTAGGACCCTTCCTGTTTCCCCGATATATGTAAAGTTACATGCCTGGCATTGGATTTCATATATCACTCCTGATTGCATACAATCGCCAGGTTTCCCGTGCGGGCAAGTAACGCAGTTTTCTGATAAGCAGTGCTTGTCGTAGAGTCTGTTGCGAAGCAAGTTGCTGTTTGATGTTTTCGTTAAATGGTAGGCATGTCACCAACTGGGCACATCGGGTCCGCAAGCTGAGGACTCCATAACAATACTACCATGATATGGACATCTGCAAGCAACTTAACTACTTCAAGAAATAAAGGAACAAAGGTATCTTAATTATTTGACGCGGTCCCTCTCGCGGATTGATGTACTGTCTCCTTCGAGGAGGTGGTGCCGTATAACCATTCATAGTGGCTATTTTTGTAGCTAACTGTCGTGATTCTTCTCGCTCTGCATCGTCCGTGCACATTCCGATTGCCGTTTTGAACATGTTGCGAACAACAGCGCGCTTTACGGCTGACGGATGGGCCGATGTGGCGTGAACCAAGATGTTCTTTGAGCTACTTTTACGGTACCACTTCACTCGAGTTATGCCATTGGATACGTTGACTTGCGTGTTCAGATATTACTATGAATGGTTATACGGCACCACCTCCTCGAAGGAGACAGTACATCAATCCGCGAGAGGGACCGCGTCAAAATAAACTACCCTTATGTATTCCCTTTATTTCTGATGTAGTAAGTGCTGCAATCCAACGGAGTATTGTAAGAGCACAGTTGCAGGACGATGTGCAGTTGGTGAATGTACCTAACGAAAACATCAAACAGCCAATTATCGCGCAGCACAGACTCTACGACAAGCACTGCTTATCAGAAAACTGCGTTACTTGCCCGCACGGGAAACCTGGCGATTGTATGCAATCAGGAGTGAAATATGAAATCCAATGCCAGGCATGTAATTTCATTCGCGCGGGCACACGAAGGGTCCAGCATTGCCTCAAGGACATCTTGCAGTTTAGACGCGGTACCTCCTCACAGACCTCGAAAGATAAAGTTGAGCAGCAAATATGAGTGTAAAGATAATCGAAAAAAAGTGCAATATGCTGGCACATCGACGACGGAAAATTTCCGCAAGAAAGAGCAGTTAGAAGCGTTCTGCGATCTTTCAACCAGAAAAACCAGATGAACAGCGAGATGAGTTGCCGCAACTAACAAATGACCTTCTGCGTTCGATAGAACAGCTGCGAGCTGTTAGAACTGACAGCAGCGCTACGTGCCGTCTGCCACAAATATTCTATCTATACGGAGACCAGCGGCGGTATCTTCAATTTATAACGAACCCTGTCGTCTCTTGTGTGGCTGCGGACACTTGTCGCTAAATAAGGTGGCAACCGGTCGTGGGCTTTTGGCTTTCGCGCATTATTGGTCTCTCGAGGGCGTTCCTGACACCGATTGTCGACGCGCTAAGAGTTGACGAGGCGCTTGGTGGAGTAGAGCGCAATCTAATCCTTGAAACACATTCAGGCCTCTGATGACGACGATTCAGTCGAAACGTTAGGCCATATTGAATAAATAGTTCCACCTATCAACCTCGTAAGGCACAAAACAAGTTAAGAACTTGTAAAGGCTTTATCTAATGACACCAGAAGGGGGGGGGGGGTGTATCTACAAATTAATTGCGAGAGTGGCCATGGCTGTGGATCTGATGGTGAGGGAACGTTACTGTTAGAGTTCGAGGTAGAGGCATGATCTACAGAAAAGAGCGCCCAGAGCTCCGTTGGAAAGGAGGATGGGTAGGGTGCCTTTCCAATGTCAACCAATCTTTCGTAATCCTTCCTCACGGGGCGCCCATACGTTCAAGCAAAAGAGGAATGAACAGAATCGGCGCAGATAAGTTGGGTACCGAGCTTACATGGCTTTATGGTACAATGCCGCGTGGTAAGGTGGGCAGAGAAAGCCAATCGGGTTTTTTTCCGTTCTCGCACCCCTTTGGGGGAAGTCATCATTGAAGAGAGCCAATAATTCACCCGGATGACCAAAACTGTAAGCTGGTCTTTGTAACACCATGATATGTGTTTTCTTCTCAAATACAATCTACTTTTCCAGAGCTACCTAGGAACTGAGATGCAGTTCTCAGAACTCATCATGAAGTTATGGACCGATTTTGCGAATACTGGGTGGGTCTTTCTTTGACGATTCGAGGAAGACAAATACGTTCAATTCAGTGTTCGTTTTTCAGTTCTCCTGCACCGTATTGGCCAAAATATAATAGGATAGAGAGAAAGGCCTTAGTACTTGGCGAAGAGTCGATCAGGGGTGAGCATCGCGTTATAACCGATGTTCATGGAACTCACTGCAGATTGATCGAGGAAGCTGAAACTGTGTCTGGTCAAGGTACTTGAACTCTTGTATAAAAGTAGCTACGTGCTGTCGTCTTAAGACACTATGACTGCATAGTTCTTAGTGGAAGTGTGGGCGGAGTACTCCGATCTGTTCTTGTGGCCAGCCAATCACGGCTTTCCTCGCTTCCCTGGCTCGCCCTCCTATTGGCTGGCTCCCTGAGTGCGTTGGAACACTCCGCCCACATCTCAAGCACTCACTGTTTCTTCAGAACACTGCTTTTTTCCAGTATCTGAGTGCCGAGCTCGTCGTACGCAACCAGCTGCTATTCAAAGTGCCGAAAATGGTGGTAACCGTCTTACTGCCACCGTAATCGCTGTTATAGTCGTTCTCGTTAAAGCGCTAAATTGATTGTTGAAATATACGATCGGCAGAGAGTCATAGCATGCTAGTTATCTTCTGAATGTGCCTTCGATATATTCAATTTGTCAATTCTCGTGTCAATTCACTTTAAGTAGGCTGTAAATAAGATCTCGTCCCCGTATCCTAGCCGGATCCTTTCACTTTCGTCGCCTTTTCATTATTGTTTTTAATAACCGTTCTTGAGAACATCACCACGCAGTTGTACACTACATATCCTGAAATGGAGAGGGCGTGGCTGCGTACTTTCTTTGAACAAGGCGTAGGATGCGTGTTTCAGTGGGTATTCGTACAACGCTTTTCTGTCTTGTAGTGGACAAATACATGGGTACAAGCGGCCCTCAATCGCAATATCCCACCAAAAACAGCCACTACAGGCTCGCGTTGCAGCCACGCCCACTCCATTAGCGGGATGTGTGGAGTGTACATCACAACTGTTTCAGAGCCTATAATCGAATCGGTTATTACTTCCCTTGCTTCAGTTTTCATGTGCTGTTCTTTTGATGAATGTTTATTGAATGGGTATCAGAGTCATTCGTATAAAATTTTGTTGCAATTTCTGTATCAGTGTTTACTGACCTGCAGGATTTCCCGGGTACAGAAACCTCCACATCATTAGCCATTAGGCAAACGAACTTGTCCGTACAACAACAACAACAACAACAACAACAACAACAAAAGGACCCAGAGCCTTAACAACTGTACTGGAAAAGAATACAAGTGATTATTGCAAGGGCCCAAGGACTCAAGCATTTGTTCTATATTCTTCGGATAAGCTGGCGTAAAGCAGAATTATAGTCTAATTCGCC